TACTATTTGACAGCACATTCTTGCTACAGGAAAACTACCCCGTGTCAATGCCTGACATGTTACGCACAGACAGCTTTACCGATTTACACTGACTTACCTGGTAAGAAGTCCTAGGCCAAGCCATGGTTTTAAGAACCTGTATAGATGAGACTTGTCAATTTGTTTTGAGCTAGTTAAAATTACCTTAGAAAGAGAGAAAAGAAAAATGAGAGATAGAGATATGAACGCAACCTTAATTATAAGAATACGGGGCTAGAACACAACTACTTTCCAAAGTAACATTTCATAACAATTACTTCTTGGTGGTTCATTTTCATTACTATGACAAAAAGAAATTCAAATAGAGTTTGGAGCATACCACTGTCACTCACTCTTAGGGACTAACTGGAGTTGACTGAAAGGAAAATGCCCCAGATAATTCCCTGAGTCCTGCCATGAATTAGGAGCCAAGTGGAGTTGTTTATTCTGAGGGTAGGAGTGAGGGGAGAGAGGTGGGTGAAGCAAAGGATGAGCATATTTAGGGAGATGGAAATCACAAGTTCATTATCAGGTATATTGAATTGGAGGCATTCAAGTTGCCACAGTCTGAAAGCAGGTATGAAGCTCAGGATTGAGGCTTATACTAGGTACACATTTGAATGTCTCCAGGATATTAGTAGCATCGGGAACCATGGGTATAATTAGGTGCCTGGAGCCAAAGTAAAACAGAAGGGATGAGCATATGCACAAAATGCTTCTCAGGATCTTACTGCAGTTCCCTACTTTGGACAGGTCTCTGTCCACATGTACTAAGCCCACTTACACTAGGCCAGCAATGGCTGACATCCCACATGTGGCCCTCTCGCTATCTCCTCTGGACCAGTACATTGGGCAGAGTGGTACCAGAGACACTCTGACAGTTTTACCACAATGAGTAAGAAAGATGTATCCAAACCCAGTAACCCTAGGAAATTCTGCTGTTAATTTTGAAGGTATTTGTATCTTATATTTACACCCTAACCCAAAGCCTTTGTCATCAAACCATCAGATAATACCCACAATGTCATGATAATAAGTAAAAAAAAGATAAATAATTTTTAGGAGTAATTTCAATAGCGTGAATTAACAACATCTTCCCCATCAATATCAGATTAGTGTTCTCTTTTAAAAAATTAACTTGAAATAATAAAAGTAGAATGGATACTGTGAGCATCTTAAGGGAAACACTTATATTTTATTAGTCTTATATTTGTATAATCTTAAAACAGTGCCTTGGCAGATGATATGAGCTCACCTTGTAGAAGAATTTATTTATGCTTCTGTTCAACTGAATATTTTCCAAAAAAGGAGGACAAATGTATTACTTGATACCAAGTGTGTATAGATATGTAGAAGCTGCTACTCTTCCCAGATCTTAGACTATATCTGGAAAGCATTAAACGGCACCTTCACAGCCTTAGATATTTAATGGAATCCTCATTGTATTGAATTCAATTAAATATAAGGACATATATTTGCTGTTTATTCTGATGAGATTCTCACACCATCAAATATACAGTGAAACATTGACCACAGTCACCATCAACTCACCTCTATAGTTTCGGCTTTATACATGAGTATTACTGGTACTGTGCCAAGCCAGAGTGTTATCATTGGTACATGTCTGTTCTCTTCAGTGTAATTCATCAGCTGCTGGAAAAACTCTTTAAAATATTTAATTTTAAGTAAGTTCCTTACTGTGTCTTTTTGGGTTTTTTACTCTTTTTTTCTTTGGGCTATTCACACAATGTCTCCCATATCTTTCACATCTTGAAGCTAAACCACACAGTTGTCATTACTAAATTATTAATGAATGAATTATGAGGCTAACTTAATTATGAATGATATATATTCAACAACCTGGTTAACTGAGAAATGCCAAGCACTGTGGATGTTTGTGGTGACCTTATGACATGCCTTCCCCAAGAACACCGAGGTTGTTCAGTTTCTCCTGACCTGCACAGGCTACTCTTCTATAGAAAGGGATACCTGTCCCAACTCTGCAGCCCAGGAAGA